TAGTCCTTAGCAGATTGCCCTTTTGCCCCTCCATTCCGTTCGCCCTCTCTTTCTCATGTTTAACATTCGCTTCCTTGTACCCAAGAACCCTCTCTCTTCATTTATTAGATTATTCGGCTGATTCGAGCAAGAGCAGAAATTTCAAGTCCCCGTAGGGTGTTGGCTATCACCCAAAAAATCTCGGTCGGCAAGTCTAGGATAGTGGCGTGTAACTTAGTGGCGTGTAGGTCATTATTAGTCTCTATAAGCCTTGGTGAATAAGCATAGCTTCTTGGAACTAACGACTATCAGATCATGATTGTTGGTGGTCAGTTCTATTTCGGAAAGGAACGAAAAGGCAGTCGCTTATTCGATAAGAGATTTGCTTTCCGCGGCTGGAGATAGCGATGTAGAGCAATAAAAAAATAGTTCCGTAGATGGGGTGTAGTCACGGCTTTGTAGATTTCCCCGTCATGGATAATTGATTGCCGAACTCGAACATAGGCATTGTCTTGCATAATCTAAATGGTCATTTACCGGCCCTTCGCTCCTAGGGCCCCACCTATAGGTTCCCGGGAGCTTAGGGGCTCCTGGGACTACCCGTGTTGTTCCTAGGAGCATCCATCCGGTTTCTAGGAGCTAGTATCAGGCTCCCGGAGACTGATGGTTCCTGGGGGAGACAACGTCATCTGAGGATGTCTTATTGAATTTAAGCCATTCTCTTTAGGCAACGCAAGATAGCTGGCTTCATAACGTTGGAACCTGCAGCACAGAGCTAATCCAGTAAGCACCCGGGCATAAAGTCAGCTGAAGTCCCCGTTTGTTACGGACCTCTCCGTCACCAACCAGTAGTGACCCACAAGGCACACCGATGGGCCACCGAGAGCCAACCAATCAGTCAGCATTCACGTGCGGTACGACCGGCAGAAAGGGAAGGACTGCAGGAAGGCAGCCAGTTTCGGCCTGCGACAAGCAAATGGCAATTCTACTCGATGAGAACTTGGAGTACCCTTGACCACTCAGATCACATCCAGGACCAACTTCCCGACTCAAACCGAAGAGGACCGTGCCATTATCCGGAAATTAATCGAGGATTATATGACTGACAAGCGTACCATCATCCTGTAAGTGAATCCCTGTCAGAGGGTCGTTGAAGAATTGTAGGGCTTACATATCGTTAGCGCAGTTATGGATGCACGTAATAATCTTGCCAACCAGGAAGTGTAAGGAAGGTGCTCACTTGTACTAGGTTTTCAATGGCACGTGCCGCTGACCCAGCAGGTAAACGTATTGTTGGAATTGTCACCAAATGTGATGCGCTGCAGGCAAGAGATGAAGCTGGTGTAAGTGTCTGATTATGTTGAGGTGAACGCCATGCTGAAAACGCCTCAGGTTTTGCGCATCGCTAAAAATGAGGTTGAGCGTCTCACTCACGGATGGTTCGCTGTAAGAAACCGCTCCACAAAGGAAATTCAAGAGGGTGTAACTATCGAGGGCCGACATTGAAAGGAGAAAGAGTTTTTCTCAATGGTGCATCCCTGGGCGGAACTCAAGAAAGATCGAGTCGGTATCAATGCCTTGAAATCCTTTCTGGGCCACCTTTTAATACGATCACATTCGCTCTGGATTTCCTGCGGTTGTGGCAGATATCGAAAAGCTTTCTCTGGACACGCAAAAAGAGCTGGAGATTCTCGGACCTTCTCGCCAAACCCCTGCCGAACAGATAAGGTTCTTGACACGTCTAGCATCTACTTATCGAAACGAAGTTGATAGAGCATTGACTGGGAACTATAGTGTCGACTTGGAAGCACAAAGCCCGCTCAAGCTTCGTATGCACCTGCGGCAGCATGCAGATGATTTTGCTACATCAATGGCTACAGGGGGTCATGCCAAAGTTTTTCGTACAATTCAAGATGAAAACGATCCGGAATTCAGCAGACCAGCAGGTGACTTGGAAAATATTTACGACTGGATACGACGTTACTACCTTGAATCGCGCGGCTCTGAACTACCTGGCACTGTCAACCCTGTTGTGCTCCAGAATATGTTTCGACAACAATCCAGTCCGTGGGAGAAAATTGCGATAGTTTATCTCGAAAAAAACTGCCTCTGCAGTGCACTCCTTAAACCAACAGGTTTTTGCAAAAATCATCACCGACAACGATGTGCGAGAGAAAATAGAAGGGGTTCTATCTCAACCCGGAGAGGAGACATACCGCCAAGCTCACGACCAGCTGCTGATGATAGTGAATGACGAACGAGGAGGAATCCTTCAGACCGTGAACCACTATTTCGCTGACACTTTATCCTCGATCCGCCAGGAAAGAGTCATAGCCAGACTTGAAGGTCTCGGGCTCCAAGACGGCTTTGGTTTCGATATGAAAATAGTATTGAAAGGTGTTCACTTGAGCAACGATCAACAAGCCGTTTTTGACATACACGATATCTTGAAAGCATACTACAAGGTGGCTATGAAGCGCTTCATGGACAACGTCATCGTTCAGGTTTCTGAAAGATATATAGTAGGGGAGGAAGGCCCAGTGAAATGTTTTCACCAGATCTCGTCGGCGGCTTTGATGATGATATGCTGACGGATCTTGCGGGAGAGAACTTCTCCACAGCAAGCCGGCGAAACGACTTGGTATCCATGGCTGCACGGTTGAGAGAGGCGTTGGACATTGCGAAACGCGCTGTACTATGAGCTCAGGTATACTGAGTGGTATTTAGTGGTTGGGGATCCTCCGGATTTCCACAACAGCGAGGCTGATTCAACATCTCCGTTTCGGGTATTTTGTGTGTAGTTCTTCTGGGCATAGGTTTTTCCCCACTGGGTTTTCCTATCCCCCAGCGCGAATGCGGGAAGATTTTTTTTTTGTTGTTGTTGTTGCACCTGCGCTTGTCTATTCACGCGGTTTACATTTTTTTTCTGCTTTTTTCTGTTTATTTGAGGTTTTTTGTAATCATCTCCATGAAGTGGAATTTCACAGTACAGACTACTACGCTACGACCTGTGGCTTAAAAATCCCTCAAATCAATTCAGCCGCCGATAATTAGCCAAAGCATTTCCGATGTCCATTTGTTTCAAGTGTGGAGGAGCATTATGAGAATCAAAAGTTACGTGACATGCCGGTTCTTCGACTGCCTCGAAAGAGAAGCCCTCAGTTTTGAGGAGTCACCGTACCACATATCGGTCGGATTACAGTAGAAACGCTCTAGCAACAACCCAGACTATTCAACGTTAATACAGAAGCTATTTTTATCTTGTCATTTGTACAAATGTATTGAATTACTGCCAAGACAGGGGTTCAGGGGAAGAGTAACTGTGATAAGTATAGCGCGTTTATCAACGTATCCGAATTTCGCTCGTGCCATCTCGTCTACGTTGATGAATCTGGATGTGATAAGCGAATAGGATTCAGACGAACTGGCTGGTCTCCTTTTGGTACCACACCTGTCCAAGCATCGAGCTTTCATCGCGATCAACGGTATCAGATTCTCCCTGCATATACACAAGATGGAATTCTACTCTCCCGTACCTTTCAAGGCTCGACAGATGCCTTAGTTTTTGAAGATTCTATCGGGGAACTTTTAGAAAATTGTGGGAGATCTCCTGAGCCTAAGTCGGTTCTCATCATGGATAATGCATTCTTTCATCATTCCGAGAGGATTGAGCAGATGTGTCTTGTCTTGATAAGGGGGTCGAATTAGTGTGTTTACCACCGTACTCGCCGGACCTGAACCCGATTGAAGAGTTTTTTGCGGAGTTAAAGGCGCTCATTCGGCGGCACTGGCAGTCTTACGCAGACGATCCAGACCAAGGGTTTGATAGCTTCCTTGAATGGTGTGTTGGCAAGGTGGGAGTAAGGGAAAAAAGTGCAAGGGGCCATTTTCGAAACGCTGGTCTCGGTATTGAAGAGCTATAACAGGGGAAAAGATGAGTGAAATGCGAGATCGAAGATGATTATCTATGAGAGGCCAGTCGAACAAATCGACCTTTTTGCTGGATTGGCGTGGTGTAAATTTCTAGTGTCTTGCTTTCACGGTATATAGTGGCATAGAACTTACTCGGGGTTGAAACCAGTATTTCCATATGGAAGGCAATAACGGCTGCGACTGTAGCCTGTCAGGATAGGCTCCAAAGTCGCACTCGCCTTGTACCGTGCCTCAATCTGAGATGTGGTCCGTGCACAGGTCAGCCCCTCCCAACACGTCAAGAAGTAGAGACAGCTGTCCAAGCGCGTAACATCAAGTCCCCATAGGCCACGCCCATCTAGAAAGTGATAGAGATACACTAGCGTTTTTAATTCGGTCTATCACAAATTCACCAAATTTAATTGAGAGGTGATCACTTGAAACGAAAACTCGGCCATCTGCCCCTATTTATTAAGCTCCTCTCCACACCAACTAGGACCTGAGTTATACTAACTAGCGATACATGGAAGCATCATCAAAACAAACGTCAGACTGAACAACTCAACGATTATTCGAAAGTACATCTTTCTGTTAAAGAAATGAAATTGCGTATTGCGAAGTGACTATCGTGCCTCTTTATACGACTTGGGTGGGAGATTGAGCTGTCAAGAGCCTCGGTTGCGGATTAATAAAAAGCCGATATAGTTCGGACGGCAGAAACTTAGATACTGTCAAACCTCAAAATACGGCCTCCCTAGGCCATAAACAGGAACCTTGGTTTTTGTTATGGTCTAGTGGAAAAGTACGCTGTATTTCGTTCAACAGATACCAACTAAGGATCTATACATGTCGCTTCCTGAGAGCTTCCACTTTTCATTTTATGGGTGATTCGGGCCAGTCACGCATTTTACAAAAGACCCTCAAGGGTTATTTACACGCCGTTACGTTATACAGTACTCATTGCGTCAGTTTGTGTATTACATCATGATGATGGCATTGCTCTTTTGGCCGTTCGTCTCAGGTGATTTATCTTTCGTAGTTGGTCATCTCACTATTTAAGCAATGATGGAACGACCATTACAGTTGTTACAGTCTTTGTGTTGGAAGGCCACGTGACCACCACTGTTTGCTCCCAGTACTTAGTCTCAGTCATAGCATGTAGATAGTTTCTCTCTCTCTCAACGCATCAAGAGATTTCCAGTTACATCTACATTCATCGTAGATCTCTAGTATCTCTAACACTTTGCTTATCAATTGTTGAATTAAGCCTCAATAACTTTCTACAATATGCCCGACGATGAAGGCACGGGCCAAAATTCACCTCCCACCCAAGCCAGGCAGATAACTCTGCAGGTGGGGGAGCGCCGATTTGTCACTACTCTTCAAACACTAGTACCTGAGAGCAACTTCTTTGCCTCCCTGTTGTCCGGACGGTGGGACGATGCCCGTGCCGACGGTTCCTACTTCCTTGATGCAGATCCGACTCTATTTGAACATATCCTACGTTATCTTCGGCGTAGGGTGCTTCCGATATTTTATGATATCGGCAAAGGACACGACCACGCGCTGTATCTAGCCCTTCTTGAAGAGGCAAAATATTTCCAAATTGCTCGACTCCAAGATTGGCTTGAGAACAAACAGTATCTCCATGCGCTATCTGTAGAGTGTTCTATCGAAGAAGATGAAGGAACCCCATGTCGTACAACACTGTCCACGGATACAAGCGTGAAGTACTACCCTGGATGGGGAACTAAAAAGGTGTATGTATGCCCTAGGGGAATTTTGGTGCATAGGGGACAACCTGGAGCATGTGGTAGGCAATGCTTGAAGGCAAGAGGAGATGCCGATGCAGTCTATGACGAGGAACCAGTGTCGAGGTGGCTGGTGGTAAAAAAACGGACAGTCTTTGATATGCAGGCTTGTGTGGCTGGTCGGTAACTAAGCACTATCTATGAGCACCATTCAGAGGTTTCTTTGTCTCAGCCTAATTTCCAGGTTCGAGATTGACATTGGTATGCGACGTTGATCTCTCGCTCATAGTATACAACCAAACATGTTCGGCTGAGTGGTTTCATAGAAAGCAAACTCTTCTCTGATATCGAAGAAGGATCACATTGGTGCCCAGAGCTCGGTGGATGGTATGACACTGATGAAGAGGTCGAACAAAATAATATCAACGAAAACGGAATTCGTCTCATTGAGGAGAATAGCTCGTAAATCCAGGCATTATTAGTGATGGTACTCATTGATTAATTGCTAAGATTCCTTGATATTTGGCTTCCATCAATCACTTCACTGACATCACTCAGTTTGTGTGAAATGTCATCATTCCCCTTGAAGTCACGGGAGAGTAGTTCTATGGGTGTACCCTATTCAACGCACGCACGGCACCCTCTTTTAGCTTCATAACTGTTCCAGTTTGGATAACGTCTGGAACATTTACATGATTCTTTTTTGCTTCTATTACTGCCAGATATACGACTCTTGCTTCACTATTTTTCGATGATTGGTGAATAAAACCAAATATGGATGTCTGGGATGGATGTTCTCTATTCACTGTATAAAGTCTGACCAAATTACGAAAGCTCTTCATGACTGTTCGTGTCCCATGTGTTGCTTCACCCAATCGCTAATGTCGCTAACAAAACGTCGCGCTGCCCCCGCTTTCACGCCGTGCTTCACAAAAAATCCAGGATCTTGATCTTGGTGGATCTGCTTAAGATCGAGGCAATTTTCAAGGGCCACATCGCGGGCTTTTTGGATATTCTCCTTGAAGGGCTCACTGACCACTCGCAACTGATGCCAGATAGCATACTCCTCGACCGCTTTATCAAGGAGCCCAGGGATATCAAGTGATGCAGTTTGCTGAGAAGCTGGGTTCGTAAGTTCAGAACCGGTGGGAACTGAAACTTGGGAGGACGTGAAGGTGGATCGGAGGACATGTCAATCCGCTTGCAGGGTTATTCGAGCTCTTCTTCTGTCTTTCGAGACGCTGATTCTCCTCGGCATAAAGCTGTTCGCGAAGACTTTCAGGGATGTCATCATGAGTCTCCATAACCCCCCCTTGTTGCACATACTTGACGAGACTCTTCAGGTGGTTCGATCGTAGTTTATAATGCTTCTTTCCGTCCGGGTCCTGCCCAGAGTAATGTCCTTCGTGGCGGCATAGAGGTCCAGGACATCGCATAATTCTGTAAACATCTCGCCAAATTGATTGCTGACCGGAAGCCTGTTCGACGTCAATCTCAGCGTCTCGTACACCGAGCATCCTTTTGGTGACGGATGATTTTCCTCTTTTGTCGACTTTGGACGAATTATCCTCTACATAGTTAATTAATATCTGGAGTAGAAGCTGCTTGCCAAGGCGGTATAGATGGGCCCACGATAGCAGCTGCTTTTCCACTATTGTCCAATCAATACTAGTGCCCTCAAAATTCTTGGTAAGATCTCGTTGGGAACTATCATTTACAGATACGACAACAGACGTATCGTCTAGTCTTACACGTCGGTCAGAGGCGATTTCCCGACGTAAACGATCCGCAGCTTCCTCTTTTATCTTCTGCCAGTAACAACTAGGTGGCAGAGCCGGGCCTTGTTCGGTGTCCTTTTTCACAGCCCGGTTATTCAGAGTAACCTTCCACTCGATTTGGTAGTGAACACAGTTAGAAATTGTCCATCCCATGTTCCTCTATTTTGTTCAACGACTGGCAGTAGTTTGTTGGATTGTGATGGCTGCAGGTGAGATGAACTTTCCTCGGGACCGGGCGAGGGGCAGAATATGGGTGGGGTGCATTGATGGTCCAATTAGCCGGGGGTGGGAGCATACGAGGTAGTCCGTTCCCAAAAATCGGGTAGTTCAGGTCGGTAGGTATCTTCACAACCAGAAGGAGTGTAAGTCATCACCCTAAGGCAGTAAACGCCACTGAGGAGCCTACTCGTGGTACCATTGCATCGAGCAAAACGAATTGGTGTCTGACAAGCTTAGTACAGTGATCAGCTGCAGAATCATGAGTATATATGCTGTAAGCACGTAAGGAATGCAGATCCCAAAGATCCAATCCGTGCAGTTTGGTTCGGAATAAGCGCTTAAGATTGCCACTTGGTACAAGGAAGATGACAGGTAGCCAAGTATGTAAGATCCATTGCGCCAGGTTTTGTTTGACATGGTTTGTATTTAAAAGAACGTTCTAGTCTCTTATGAATCGCTCATACGCTTACGAGACGTAGGTACGTAACTTATCTTCGGTAAGATCTTGTATTCGGAAATATGGAATATCAATATTCCGATAACTTCCTCAATATGGAGTAACACATCTTGGCATTACGAGCGGAGAAAAACTGAAACAGTGCCGGTGGTGACACCAATTTCCGGAAGTGCACCGCTCAAGAAGCCGAATAAAGGTGACTACACCATTGCAAAGGCATGGAGGCCCATCTCACTCCTTGCGACACTCGGAAAGGTATTGGAATCAGTGGTTGCAGAAAGAATCTCACACGCGGTGGAGACGCATGGGCTGCTCCCGACGAGCCATTTTGGGGCCCGGAAGCAGCGTTCCGCAGAGCAAGCCTTGCTGTTCCTGCAGGAGCAGATCTATGCGGCATGGCGTGGCCGACGAGTGCTGGGCTTGATCAGCTTCGACGTCAAGGGAGCCTACAACGGAGTATGCAAAGAACGACTGATCCAGAGGATGAAAGCCCGAGGCATGCCAGAGGTGTTGCTTCGTTGGGTCGAGGCCTTCTGCTCGGAACGAACGGCGAATATGCTGATCAATGGGCAATTATCTGAGACTCAAAGCCTGCCGCAAGCTGGACTGCCGCAGGGCTCGCCCCTGTCTCCGATTCTATTTCTGTTCTTCAACGCAGACCTCGTGCAAAGACAGATCGACAGTCAAGGAGGAGCAGTCGCTTTTGTGGATGATTTTACCGCATGGGTGACTGGGCCCACCGCGCAGAGTAACCGGGAAGGAATTGAAACCATTGTCAACGAGGCGCTCAATTGGGAAAAGAGAAGCGGAGCGACATTCGAGGCCGACAAGACGGCCATCATACACTTTGCTCCCAAGATGCGTAAATCGGACCATTCGCCATTCACGATCAAGGGGCAGACGGTGGTACCCAAAGACCTCGTTAAGATCCTGGGTGTCTTGATGGACACGAGGCTCAAGTACAAGGAGCATATCGCGAGAGCAGCGTCCAAGGGTCTCGAAGCAGCGATGGAGCTTCGGCGACTCCGAGGCCTGTCCCCAGCAACCGCGCGACAACTATTCGCATCGACGGTAGCACCAGTCGTGGACTACGCCTCCAATGTCTGGATGCACGCGTGCAAGGATAAAGCCATGGGGCCGATCAACCGAGTCCAAAGAGTAGGCGCGCAAGCCATCGTGGGGACATTTCTCACGGTCGCGACTAGTGTCGCAGAGGTGGAGGCTCACATGGCTACGGCACAACATCGATTTTTGGAAACGAGCCGTGAAAATTTGGACAGACATCCACACCTTGCCGGAAACCAATCCTCTTCGCCGGTGTACAGATCAGATCAGAAAGTTCAGACGATACCACCGCTCACCACTATATCACGTGGCTGATACGCTCAAGCACATCGACATGGAGACATTAGAAACGATCAACCCTTTCACGCTATCCCCTTGGGCGGAACGCGTGCAGACCGACCTTGATGGGCAGCATGCGTCCCCGGCCGAAGCGGGCGGGTGCATGCAGGTCGCGGTCAGCAGCTCTGCACGGAACGAGCTGGTGGTGTTTGGAGTGGCCATCGAGAAACGACCACCTCGAAATCGAAAGCTCAAACACAAAGCGCTATCCATCACCTTGGCTGCAAGAGCAGAGCAGAATCCATTCTCTGCAGAACTGGCAGCCATGGCACATGTGTTGAACACGGCGACAGGACTGAAAGACTACACGATCACGCTGCTCACAAGCAACAAAGCGGCGGTTCTCACACTCAGGAACCCCCGACAACAATCTGGCCAGGAGTTCGTGTGTCGGATATACAAGTTGATTAAAAAGTTGCAGAGAAACGGAAACCATGTTCAATTGCGCTGGGTTCCTGCCAGTGAAGACAACAAGCTGCTAGGTTTGGCTAGAGAACAGGCAAGAACCTCGACACAAGAAGATGCCCTCCTACAAGAACACGCCCCGAGGATGAAATCGACCACACTAAATCTCGCACGGTCTCAAACAGTCCCCCGGAATACCTTACCGGCGGACGTCGGAAAGCACGCCAAACGAGTAGATGCCGCACTTCCAGGTAAACACACGCGACTGCTGTATGACCGCTTATCGTGGAAAGAAGCGACTGTGCTAGCCCAACTTCGGACTGGCATGGCAAGACTGAACGGATACCTCTTTCGAATCAACGTGGCCGACACGGACCAGTGTGCGTGCGGACAAACTAAGGAAACCGTGGAGCACTTCCTCTTTCGATGTCGGAAGTGGACCGCACACCGGATGGAGATGCTACAATGTACCGACACTCACCGAGGAAATCTGTCCTTTTACCTGGGAGGGAAGTCCCCTTCCGACGATCAAAAGTGGACGCCAAACTTAGAGGCAGTACGGGCCTCAATACGATTCGCCATCGCGACAGGCCGACTCGAGGCCACCTAACCATGCCGACGAGCATAAATCACCCCTTTCACTCTCCTCTCACTCTAGCCTAACCCACCAACCACCTCGTGCTACCCACGGTGGACGCGCTTCAACTGCCGAAGATAGGATGTTGAACACTTGGAGAAACGCCTTCAAGCCAGTCTGCTAACCGCATTACTAATCCACGAGCATCCGCTGCGACACTGCATGCTGAGAATGACAAATGCGCCAAGGTCTTGTGTATGGGCTCCAATGAGTCACAGAATTGTATGTGCTATGACATGTATAGTAGTTTAGCGATAGTTGTGTTATGACCTGTTCTGTCAGGGTGCGGGCTGGCAGGACGGTATGATAGGTGATGACTGGTAGGAACAGGTCA